TAAAAAATTACGTTGACTGCTTCTTAAGGTCAGTGAGAAATTTTAAATTGCCATTTTTTGTTTCACCTGGCTTATTTTTTTAGGTGACTATAAAGTTAAAGTAATTTTTTCCAATTTCCAAGTTAAATAAGACTCATTATATATACAAAAGGAAGGGAAAAAACCCTCATCTGTGCTTTCAAAAGCACTGCTGGTACTGTAAAAACAGTAGGTTGTCCTTTCTACTTTAAAACTAGCTAGGCATGGTAACTCAGACCTGAAATACTAGCACTTGTGCAAAGCAAAGAGGAAGCATTCAAGGCCAGCCTCAGTTACAAAGAGAGTTCAAGGGAAAAAAAAGTAACAGACCTGAGAATGTGGCTCAGTTGGTACAATCCTGGCCTAGTGCCCACAAGGTCCTGAAAAAAACCAGGTGTGGTGGTGCATCCTGCAATCCCCGCACTCAAGGAGGTAGAGGCAGGAGAAACAAAAGATATTGCCTTGATTTAAAAAAATAGGTTAAACTACATTAACAGCACATCTCATGAAAAGGCCACTGTGATTTTTTTTTTTCACTAAGTAGCCTGGTAGGCATGGAACGTAATCTCCTGGCTCACCTCCCAAGTGCTGGGATTATAGCTTGTTCACACCAAGCTCTTGCTGTGAATTAGAACTGAAAAGATTAATATTGGATACTTGTATCATAGCCAACTCTATTTCAACAGTTAAGAAATAATTCAAATTGGCAGTTTACAATAAAATGCTTAACCACAGGCCCATCTCTGTACTCCTTACAGAGACTGAATTAAAGTAGACAGTGAAGAAAGAATGTTTAAGCTCGTAAAAATAAGAAAGCTGAAGAGACAGGGACTGGGTACTCTGACCTCGGCCCAAAAGCACTCATGAAACTGAGAGCCAGGGACTCAACAATGTCACCTCTAGCTAAAACTATTTAATTGCACACAACTATCTGTCACCTTGACAGCTTCATGTCCCACCAATCTGGAAAATGCTCAGTAACCAGGGATCCAACTTCAGTGAAGAAACTGACTACCTCAAGCAATTCTGCTTTCAGACACAAGTCCCCAGAAAAAAGGCTGGGCCAAGATGTTCCTCACACTGCTTCCTATTGCTAAAACCTGAGGTCAGAGCACTTCCAAAGAAAGAAAAATGCTTTATGTTGTGAGTTTGTTCTCATTACAGTAAAGTGGAATAGAAAGGGCAAGCCCCTAGAAGTGCGACACTGTACAAGTGTGTGTGCTGCCAAAAGCTGAGTCAACAGGACAGAGAACAAAGACCCAAGAGTGTGTGCAAAGGAAGGCTGCAGCAACCACCACAGAACACAGGCAGAGCCTACTGTGGCCTCCACCACATTATTTCTGAGGGAAACGCTTTGTGCTCCCGTTCTCTAACCCAGCTCCTGTCTGATTTCTCTCCTCTGGAAAGCAGGACATTATTTCTGAGGGAAACGCTTTGTGCTCCCGTTCTCTAACCCAGCTCCTGTCTGATTTCTCTCCTCTGGAAAGCAGGACTGAACAGTCAGCAGTCTTCTCCCCACACTCTTTCACGAGCATTCAAATCAGGCCTTTCTGCTCCACTCAACACTGGTCTTGTCAGGACCTCCACATTACTAACCCCAGTGGTCAGTTACCATCCTACTCATCCCCTCCCCAGCATCTGACACAGGCAGACCAGGTCCTCTTCTTGGAAGCACTCTGCCACATTCTAGTTTTCTGCCTCCCTCACTGGAAATGTCTAAGTTGCCTTAACTGGAAGGCTGGACACCTCAGCTGTTCCTTATGCCCTTCTAGACAATCTACTCCTTAATGATCTCCCCTAGTTTCAGAACCACCAGACAATTCACTTGGTAGCTAACAATACCACAGACCTAACAAATTCACTGACCTTCCTTTCCAAGTGAGCCCTACCATAAACAACTCTACTCCTGTTCAATTGCTCAGCCCTCAACTTTGATGTTTCTCCTGTCATGTCCACTTCACTAGAAAGCCCAGGTAATTCTATTCAAAATATATTCAAGGGCACAGAAGGCACTGCACACACATAAAGAATATTTTTAAATTTTTACATACCTACAGAGACACAGGTACGCACACACACATGCACGCCAAATCTGATCATTTCATGTCACTGCTGTCACCAATATCCACTCTACATTTGGGCCCCTACAGTTTATTTTCAGCATGAGATGAAATCTTACCACCAAGGTAAAGTATTGGGAAAGGATCTTTGGAGACAAAATTAGGTTGTGAGGGTAAAGCACCTCACACATGGTAATTAGGACTTTTATAAAGGAAACTCCAAGCTAGCCCTTCCACCACAGTAAGTCACAGCAGGAAGGAGCCATCTGGCCCTCACCATACAGAATCTACCAGTGCCCTGATCCTGACTTCCCAGTCTCCAAATAGCTACCCCGTTTATAGAATTTTGTTACAGCAGCCCAAATGGAATGACACAATTTTTTGTTTTATTTTAAAACATTTAAACTAGCATATACAATATTGGGTTTCATTATGGTTTTTTGTTTTGTTTTGTTTTGTTTTTTTCTTTTTGAGACAGGGTCTCCCTGCAGCCCCAGCTGGCCTGGAACTTACTAATGTCTCACCTGCCTCTGCTCCCCAGTGCTGTGATTAAAGTCATTATGATAAAAAACTTGCTGTCTCTCTTCCCCTGCCCCTTCTCCAGCAATTCCTGCCCACCCCCTTTGCACCCGTCTACCCCACTATCGCCTCCTTTCCACTTCATGTCATGAGTCTTACACCTCACCCCTCTTTTCCCCATGTGACGGTCTCCTTTCTAGTTTCATAGCCTATGCCCACACTCACCCCCACTTAGATGCACAGAAATAATAAGCTAGGATCTCCATATGAAAGAGAACAGCAAGTTTTGTCTTTCTGAGTCTGGGTTACTTCACTTAATACTTCTCAAATCCATCCATTTTCCTTCAAATTTCACTTCACCATTTTTCTCTGCAACTGAATAAAATTCCATTTTTGTATTTGTGCCACATTTTCATTATCCATTCATCTGTTGATGGATGTCTAGGCTGATTCCATTTTCCAGCAATTGTGAAGGATGCAGCAACAAGCATAAATACGGTGTTAAGGTGTAGAGTGCCGTGGGTGTATTACAGAAGTGCAGCTGGGCCATGGCAGCTCTAGTTTTCTGAAACCTCCACACTGATTTCCACTAGGCTGTCCTAGCTGCACTCCCATTAGCAGTGACTAAGTGTTCCTCGTCCCCTCATCCCCTTTGGCACTTGTTGTCTCTTGTTTTAATGTATTCATTTTTGCAAGTCAGGAGACAACTTGGCAAGAGTCAGTTTTCTCCTTCCACATAGTTCTCCTACGTGGGCTCCAGAGATTGAACTGTGGTCACCAGGCACGGGCCGCAAGTGCCTTTACCCACTGTGCCAGCTTACTGTCTCTTTGTTCAATGACCATTCTGACTGGGGTGAGATGGAATCTCAAGTCTGGGGGGGATTTGTTTTTACTCCTGTGCATATGTGTGTGTGTGTGTGTGTGTGTGTGTGTGTGTGTGTGTGTGGTGTGCATTCATATAACACATGCATG